CTTAAGGTTTTACAAGTTTATAGAGAAAATATTGACATCACCAAATAATATAATACAAAATATACTCTACAATGTGTGTAATGGTATTTATTTAGCAATGATATAGGACATAACTGTTCAACATCTCAATCAGCTCACATGCCATAAAATGCGGTAGTAATGAAATGCCTCAAACGAGATTTTTTAGAAAAGAGGATCAAACGACATAGTATCGTGTTGTTTTCTTTTGTAATTACAACTAACCTGATGGTTATAAACATGAAAGTAGATGACTTTTTGTGAAGTATTCCTAATTACAGAAAGGGGACATTCACATGTCTATATACACTCATTTTTATGTGTATCTATATTTGTGAGAGATGTTACGAAACTATGAACAAGAATACCTTAAAAGAAAATGCACACATCAAACGTGCAAAGCGTAACTAGAAAATCTAGCTAGTTAGTTTTCCCACGCATGGTGTATCAAAGGACAAAATGTAGATGAGACTTATTATTGGCAGCCATGTCAACTTGGATGAAGCTTCAGATGGTAAAGTTGGTACCGCAAAAGAACTAATTGTTACTATGGGTGGGGTGCTATCACCAACCATGGAAGTGGTGGTGGGGGGGGGGGGGCATGGCCCCCTTCCTCCCTTCCCCCAATCGAATCTGCAGGATAGAGAGGCCACTAATGTCACGTATATAGGATATAAATTACGCACATGTGCATTTGAGTATTTAAGAAGCTAGCTTTTCCCCAGTGTGGTGAACCAAAGCCCAGGCGTGTAGTCCACACTTGTCGATGGCAGTCACTCATCGCCCCGGATGAAATTCCAAACGATGAATTTGGTGGCCTCTGATGCATCTTGGGTGACGTGGTAGTCGGGCATCAAATGGTACTTGGAATAGTTGAGCAGCTCCAAATTTACACCTTTTTTTCATAAAAATGCCAATCCTCCACTCTTCCCCTCGAAATCTCTCACCATCATGTTCCCCAACCGTAGCATCCACTTAAACTTTTCCATGCTCCTCTTCTCCAGTTTGGTCTCATATAAGAAGAGGATGTCAATGTCCACCTGCTTTTGGAGATCCAGAAGTCCTCTCACTGCCGGGCCATTCCCCAATCCCTAGCAAATCCATACTAAAATTCTCATTTTGGCTCGCCAGGCAGTCCCTGCAGCCTGGCGTTCACAGGTTCGGAGTTGTTCTCCTCCTTTTCTTCAACCTCCTCTACTTCCATCGTTGGTTTCTTTGCTAGTTCTGTATCTTCATCAGTTTCCATCATAATTTATGTTCTTCTGTCCTATTGTACTTAATTGGTTTTGCTGGTTTCTTTTCTTCCTCTCGATTCGCTTGAAGGTACCCCTTTTTATGCCTTTTCTTAACTCCATAAATGTATTTCCTTCCTTGGTTTGGGCCTCTTCTCTGTTCTGCTCCAATATAACCTTTATTGGCCCTTGAAAACCATGTTTTGATTTTGTGATAGTGTCATTCTTATCTTCAGCCTTACTTGATTCTCTTTTAGTTTTTTGTACCTTCCCAGTGGGGTCTTGTATCACTATTCTGCCCAGATCCAGATTTTTTGCCTCCCCTACTACCTGATCCTCGCACTGTTTAGTTTGAGAGGACTTTCACTTCATTCCCATCACTCCTTCTTGGTCCTCCCTCATCGTCTCCGCTTGGTATATTTCTTCGCCAGGACGTCCCATTGCTTCCCTATTTGCTCCCCTTGTACCTGCACTATTGATTGGCCACAATTTGCATTTATCATTTGAACCCCTACTTATTTCTTTGCTTGAGCTCCCGTCGTACAGATTTGCATGTTGCCATGGTCCAAATTGTCTAGACCTTGTTCTTCTAGATCTAGTTGGACATGACTTTTCAGTATGTCAAATAATTCCAGAACTATAGCGGAAAACGGGAAGATACTCATATGTGAAGGAGACAATCTTTTCCTGCCTTTCTTTCTTCCTTTTTCTTATTTCTTTTGATTCATCGTCCCCCCCGAAACCATTTCATCTTCCTGCTCTTGTTCTGCCTCATCCTCAATGAAGGTTGTTATAAATCTCATAATTGGTACAATGATATCTAATCTCACTTTGATCCGCATAAATGCCCCCATTGAATCACCATTAACGTCTGGGTCTACAACAATAATTTCTCCAATTTGTTCTCCTACTAAGTCTCTCATCTCTTTGCTCACCCATTTGGGATGCCGTAAGCTCTAACCTAGATATGTATGGTCTTGAATTCATATTCATCTATGGTTCGAATTAGCACAAAATCTTCCATCACCAATAGGTCATTGCTAAATCTCCATGGCACGACATCTATTGCCTTTTCTTTATCAACCTTTTGTTGGAAGATAAATAGAAATCTAGTCCTGCCCAAATCTTCACAATCCACCCCACAATGGGCTGCAGACTCCCCAAGAGTTCTTCCCACATGTTCAACCCTAGTAGTCTCTCTACAATAAGCTTGCCTACTGCTTGAAGCTTGCTCACCTATGAGGAGCATGCTTGCTTCCTACCAATCCCGATCCCCTTCGTTTCCGCTTCGAAGAGCTGCAGGTTCTTGAGTTTGCCCTCCACTCCTTCAAGGTATGCGGTCGTGAGGTCCCCCATTGCAGCTGATAGATGTTAGGTCAGCCGCTCCACTGTAGCCCCCTTCACGCTCCAAATCTGTCACCGCCACACACCACAACCTGCTCCCAAAATCCTCTCTATTCCTCACCAGGTTGTTCTAAATCAAATTTGGATGGGCTCTCACACTTGTCGGAGGAGGACTGGAATCTATGCACGAGATGGTGGGAAGGAGAATCAGGGCGATTTTGTGTTTGTTTCGTGGAAACCGGATGGGGATTGTGTGGGAAGGGTTGCCGACGAGGACGCGCACTCAATCGCCACGCAGTCTCCAGAAGCAGCGAGAAGCACCGTCACGCGCGGACGGACGGAAGGCATGTGTGGCGGGGAAATGAAGTTGTGGAGCTTGAAGATTGATGAAGACATAAGGGCATCTCCAGCCGCGCCCCCAGGAAGGCCTCCCCAGGCGATTTTTTCGCGCCGGCGCCGAAAAAACGGCCCAGTCACGCTCCCGGAGCGCGATTTTCGCCGGCTTGGGCCGAAAACAGCGCCGGCGGACCCAGCCCGAACCCGGCGCGCTGGGGGGCGCCCGGGGGCGCCGGTGCGAGCTGTTTTGGCGCGAAAAAGACGCGCGCCAGCCGCGTCAGCGACTCGGCGCCTCGTCTTCCCCCAACGGCCTCGGTTCCCGCGGGGAATCAATGGCAAGGCTGCCGCCGGTCAGCCTTGCCATAGATTCCTCACGGGCGGCGCTTCACGGGATGGCGCGCCGACGCCTTCCCTCCCTCGCACGCGTACACACGGGCGCAACCCGGCTATAAAAGTCGGCGGCCTCCACTCGCCTGTGCCCACACCAGCTCCGCCCCTCGCCGCCGTCCAGCCCCTCCCTCTCCCTGCCTCTCCCGAGCGCCGCCGCCCAGCCCCTCCCTCTACCTCTCCCGAGCCCGCCCAGCCCCGCCGTCGCCATGGCAGAACGCTTCCCCGGAGACGAGGCGGCGGCCAACGGCTTCGGCCGCCGTTCGCTCCGCGAACAGGAGTCCTGGCTCCTGTTCCAGGCGAACATCCCGGCGCCGCCGGACATGCGCGCCGGGCCAACGGGGTGGAGACTCAGCGCCGGGGGAGTGCCCATTCCCCCGTTGCCCGACGCCGTGGCGAAGCCGAAGTACTTCGCCGAGGAGGTCGAGATCGTGCGCGCGTCCCTCACCGACGCTCAACTCTCCCTCCCCCAGTACGCCGCCGACAACCACGCGGCCTGGGCGGCGTATTTCGAGTGCCACCAACAGCAGCGATTGGCGTCCACCAACGGCGCGCCGGTGGTCGGCGGCCGGCAGAACAGCGAGGGGCGCCACCTCTGGTGGGGCGTCCCTGGCCGCACACTCAAGGGCGTGCTCACGTACCTCAAGGGCGGCAACGACCCGCCGTTGGCGTACCCCCCGGCGCAGCACCGACGCGTCGGGCCATGGGCGCCAAGGAGGTTCGGGTCCTCCTCCTCCTCTTCCTCCTCCCGATCCTCATCGCACTCCTCCGGTACTTCGACCCTGCTCGGCGTCAAGGCCGAGCCCGCCGCGGAGTCGCCGCTAGGCCGGCGCACTCGCAACGCCGGCATCGTCATCAACGAGGGCGGCCGGCGCGCCTCCTCCTCGTCGGCTCCTCCGCGCTTCGTCAAGCCGAAGACGGAGCCGGGGCTGGCGCCGGTGAAGGCGGAGTTTGACGACGACGACGCGTCCCTAGAATGGGCGCGCCAGGACTCCATTGCGATGGAGAAGGCACGCCAGGAGAAGGTGAAGGAGCGCCAGCGCGCCGCCCTGCGCCGCCTCAAGGAGCGCCGACGCGGCCGCGATGAAGACGGGGTCGTCGTCCTATGCGACAGCGACGACGACGACGACGACGCGCCGCCGCCAGTCCGCCATGGCGACGCCGGGTCCAGCAGGGGCGCCCGCGTCAAGGAGGAGAAGGCCGACGACGACGATGGCGGCGGCGACTTCAGCCCCTTTCTTTTTTAGATTAGGTTAATGTACTGAAAATGCGCGAATTTCGCCGAAATTTGCCATGTTTAGCCGAAATTTAGCCCTTCTTTTTTTTAATACGCGCCTGGGGGGCGGCCCTGGGGCCCGACGACTGGGGACCGACTCGCCCCCAGGGCCATTTTTTACGCCGGCTCACCCCAGGCGGCGCTTTTAGACGCCCCTTGGGGGGCCAACGGCTGGAGATGCCCTAAGACGTCTTGTCATACTATGTGTATTTTGCTTTTCTTTTTGTTCTATGAGACGATACTAGAAAAATGACCAAAGTATGAGGTTGTTTCTGTAATTCGGTCCAGCAGACAGCAGAGCAGAGCAGCTTAAAGAAACGCGAGAGGGTGGATAGGATAAGGCGAGCCATTAGGCGCGTGAGACGGCGAACCCCAGCGACCAGCAGCGCAGAGCGCGCAAGTGAGCCATGCTAGCCTCGCCGGCGCTCGCCGGCGCCACCCACTCCTTCCCGGCCTTCGTGTCGGGCAGCCGCGGCGTCCACCTCCCGTGCGCCTCCGCGCCCTCGCACTCGCCGGCGCGGCGGGCCGCCCTGGTCGTCCTCGCCAAGGCCAAGGTGTCCACGCCCAATGCCGACCGCATCGCCCGCCACGACCGCCTCCGCAAGAAGGTACTACTAGTAGTGAACCTCCGGGAAGAAGATTGGCATCCAGTATTTTCAAGTCTCTCTTCCAATGCGCGGTCAATGGTTTCGCTGGAAGCGCGCGCGTTCTCTCTCTCTCTATGGAATTCATAGGGCAATGCCATCCCGTTAAAGCGTTTGACGAAATGTCCTTAGTTTGTTGCGGCCGTAGCTTACATTTGGATGTTCGAAAGCTGTCTGGTTGGGCGCTTGAGCTCCTGTGGACGCACTGCCTCCCGTAGTTAGTTTTGCATACAAGTGTTTCAACCAATGACTGCCACTGGATACAGGCAGAATCAGGGGGTTGCCATGGTGGACAGGAGCGGGTTAAGTTATATCTTACATTCTTGCAGGAAATGCAAGCTAGGCACAGAAACCAAGTGTTGTAGAAACACAAAAGGGCATGCACTTGAATTTAGGATAGAAACCAAGACAAAAACAGTTTCAGAGGGTGACGAATGGTGCTATGTGCATTTACATTGTATATGCTTATGTTTTTGCCAATGGAATCAGGCCTTTGTGTCATTGTACATAATTCCTTTCAGGTTAGCGGCACCACGGAGAGGCCAAGACTCAGCGTTTTCCGCTCAAACAAGCATTTGTATGCTCAGGTGATCGACGATACAAAGTCGTGCACTCTGGCTTCAGCCTCAACAATGCACAAAGCTCTTTCAAAGGAGCTTGAGTACTCTGCTGGGCCAACAACTGTAAGTTTTATTATTTTTAGTTATCCATACCTTTTTGTTTCATACTCCGTATTAAGCTAATATGGTCCTAGAATAATGCACATTTATCAACTAGTTTTGTGATCCTATGCTCGCTTGCATATACAGTATTGTATACCATTTTAACTGGCAGCACCTTTGGAAAAGAAATTAGTTTCAGTTAGGACTTGCAGTCAAACTGGCTCTCTATTATACTCTCCTATATCATTTTTGTTTATCATAGACTTATCACCATGAATCTAATAAAAGTTTCATCCAAAAATTGACCAAACCCAGGTTTAATTGAACGAATAGAGATTTTGAGAGGTGGAACAATAAAGCACCTTTCTCTCTGTTTCCCTATTTATATTTGAGCAATAAGACTCATAGTTCATAAATAGACGTTTGCCATAGATGATTCATGATTGTCCAATTGCTGGCATTGCGATATTTTTCAGTCAATCAAATGACCATTATTAGTTCTTTGATTCACCGAGTCGAAGCCTACACTAGGTGAGATGATTGGAGCCATATTGGCAGGGCAGTAGCTTCTAGGTAGACTATTGAAACTCTGATAATCCAAGGGAACATTGTACTGATGTATCTCCGAAGAATACTCATGGAAATCCGTGCTCTGCACTCAGAAAATAAAAGATGATTATAACCTGTGTGGTTGCTTTTGATGATTTTAGACATCTAGCTTTCTGATGATACACATGTTTTTGTGGGTTGTACTCATAACATCTATGCTCTACAAGCCAGTAAAGGCCCATGATGCTTTCTGGACAGTTGTTTTTACTGGTCTGTTGCAATATAGACAAAGATTAAAAAAAACTTGCATATGTAGTTGTTTCTTAATGAAAGGCTTATGCTTAGTTTCTGACGAGAGTTCAATGTTGCGGTGCTTGGTTTCCAGGAAGTGGCACAAAAGATTGGTGAAGTGATTGCCAAGTCCTGCTTGGAGAAAGGAATCACCAAAGTGGTGTTTGACCGAGGGGGTTTCCTCTACCATGGCCGCATCAAAGCTCTAGCCGATGCTGCTAGAGAGAACGGACTTGAGTTCTGAATTTTCTGTTGATATTTTCAGGATCGCATGTAATATTCTCTTTTCTTTCCCGTCTATTGAACAAAGTTCTTTCTGTAGTCATTTGGGTTGTTCCGCGGACATGGCCCCTCTTTAATGTTATCTGATCTTTGTATCAACAATGAATCAGCCTTACAAATGGAAGATTCATTTTCTGTTTATTTCTGCAATTTGGCTTCTGCCGAAGCAGCCTTGTAAAACCAACACTTTGAACATGAACATTCAGAGTGCCGATTTGAGCAAAATAACTGAGAAGAATCACACACTTTGGCAGCTTCAACACTTAGTACTACTAGTAGATATCTGGAAGCCTCTTTGTTGGCATGTGAAATCCTGATTACGGAATTCATATGTACACAGTAATGCATCTGTGCTTGTTTTCTGAAAGATAGGAGTATATATATGGTTTATATCATTTTGGTAGCTGATAAGAGATACACCAGTAATTGGGATACACTGATTGGTCCCTAGACTAGGCTGACGACAACCAAGCATTATTAGAGCAGTAATTACGGTGACGCTGAAGTTTTAGTCTTTCAGAGCAACACGCCCATAGCTTGCATAAACGTGCTGATTGCAGGGAGGCATCATCTGTTACAAATATAAATGAAGATAACATCAATCCACACCGTCCTCTTGGTCGCTGTCAATCATATCATGGTATTTGTTCATCATCTGTAGCAAATGGATACAAGGAATTGCAAAAGGTGCCACATATGTTACCCCCTCCAATCCAAATTAATTGTCGCAGCCATAGTACAATTTTGTAAAATTAATTTGAATTAAAGGGAGTATCTGGAATATAAAAGATTAAGTAATCAGTAAATTGAGGAATAGGGCAAATGGTCAACAAATCCAAGTAAAATGGGGGCTAATCATGTAATCCTAAGTAAAGGGAAGCAAATGATCAAGTCCCCAAATAATGCGGGGCAAATGATCAAGTGCGCAAATAATGCGGGGCAAATGATCGAATCTCCCTTCTGAAATAAGCATCAAGCCAAGTTTTAGCAAGGTTCATCTCCAACAATTAAAAGCACAGGTTAGATATACATAGCTTACATAGTTGCCTTCTTATGAACAATCTCAGAATCAACATCTCTATCTAAGAAGGATTTCCTCAGGTGTTTCTTTCCCCCTTTTCTCATCATCATGGTCAGTCTCAGAATCATCTTCTGAATCATACCCATGCTTACCCTTCTTAGAACTTGTGCTGTTGCCATTCCCTTTTTTCCCCTTACTCTACGCCTGTTACCATAATTGAAAGCCCTCCTGTTGCTCTGAACATCGATGTCCAACATTCTTCTTCAGAACCCATCCTTCCCAGGTACAAGCTCCCCACTGTCTACTTGAGCGTTCCTCTTCTGTCCAACCTCAGCATCTAGCCCAAGAGCAGCCCTCATCGCCTCGAGCTTCTTCTCCTTGCGTGCTGCGACATGGTGGCTCTGCATACCCATGAACCTGAGAAGAGTTTACCTTCTTGTCAGGAAGCATTGCCAAACTACCTAACAGAAGATACAACTGCACACATGAACTGTAAAATAACAGTACAGGAAACCAAGATTATGCTTCACTAGGAACAGCATAAGCTACAAGTTGTCATACTGAACCGAAATTCAGGAGTCAATTATGCTTTCAATGTGAATATCCTCCAACAGCAAATGAAGAAATCAGATTGAAAACTTGCACATGAACGCATTGCCAAATATCTGTCACTGGCCTCCTTCTCAGAATTGAAAAAAAAAAAACATATGAGCGGTTCTTGGACCCATACCCTTCGCCCGGACGCGGTGCTGCACCCCCGGCGCCGCCGCGGGCAGCCTCCAGCTCGGCTTTCTTGCGCGCCTCCTCGACGCGCTCCTCGATCTCGCCTTCCGTGTAGCCCTGCTCCTCGAGGGTGTCCCTCAGCTCGACCAGCCGCAGCTCCACCTGCCGCCTCCGGTCGTGCTCCAGGATCTCCTTGTTCGGCTTCCGCGTCCCGGCGGCGCCGTCGTCGTGGCTGTGGAGCGGCGCCTTGGGCGGCGGGCCGCCGGTCCGGGGCTGGATGAAGAACTTGTTGGTCTGGACGTGCCCATTCGTGCCGGACCCGCGCGCCGTCTGCAGCCCGATGCCGTTGTACATGGCGGCGACGACCACGGCGACGGCGACGGCGGTTCAGGCGAAACCCTATGCTTTGAGCGAGTTGGGCTCGATCCCAACTGTAAGACGACGGGACGAGGCGAGAAGAGGAGTGGGCCTGATTTTATTTTTACCCAAACGAGTTCGAGACGGTGTCTGATTCGGATGGGCCTAAAGAAAAAGATTCGGGTGGGCCGTGCACGTGTGTGTACAAAGGGTTCTACTAAATAAAAACAAATCTTCTTCTCAAAAAAAAAATCCCGGCTTTCAAATGTTCGGGGATCTTAGACCCGGCAATTTTTGAAGCTTTGGCAAGCCCTATCTCTTGCCTTGAGTCTCTCCCTCTCACATGTGACCATAGTATCGGATTGCAAGGATGTGGTAGATGACTTGAAGGAAGGCACGAGAGGCAAATATGCAAGCATTATCAAGGAGATTATAGTAACATCAAGGCAATTTGAGAGATGCTCCTTCATCTTCGAAGGACGTGGCACCAATATTGAGGCACATAGTATCGCTAAGCACGCTCTAGGATTTTCAGTTGGACGTCATATGTGGCTCCTTAATACCCTGAACATAAATTTATCCCCATGAACCTTGTTTATGATCATTAATAAAGAGTGTGGCTAGACTAAAACATACTCCCTCTGTCCTAAAATATAAGAACGTTTTTAACACTACACTAGTGTCAAAAACGTTCTTATATTATGGGACGGAGGGAGTACTAAATAAAGAGTGTGGATATGTCAGCTACACTACCCTGACGACATCCAAGCATGATTAGAGCAGTAATTATGGTGACGCTGAAGTCTCACTCTTGCAGAGCAACACACTGATAGCTTGGCATAAACGTGTTGTTTGCAGGGAGGCATCATCTGTTGCAAATAAACGAAGACAACATCAATCTGACTGTCTCTGCACCGTCCTCTGCTTCTTCGTTTCTGATCAAGATCGGTGTCAATCATATTATTTGTGGTATCTATCTTACTAATGGCTACCTACCTGTGTGAAAAGGAGTGCTACAAAATGCACACTTTTTTCTCCTTTCAAACATCAAGGAGCACGGGTGCGCCACGACACGAGAAAAGCAACCACAACACCAAAGGCGAAGAAACACCGAGATTTGTTTTGTTTTACGTGGTTCATCACACATGCAGGGAACTGATATTAACAGTTGACGGCGCACATTTCACGCAAAATGGTGTTAAAATCAGGATCCACATTTTTATTAGTATTGTTTATAAAGAGGTTGTATCTGGATCGACTGACAAAAGATGCATTCATTGGGTGCCCTGTTGATCGGATTATATTACTGTAAAGACGAGTTGGAAACTAGTAAATCAGAAAAGATGGAAAGGGATTGTTTTTCTGCATCATGTGCATTGCCGGTTAATTCGGTATTTATTTCGCCGTGGCGTCGTTTTCAGTGTGATTTGTTTCAGTTTTGGTGGTGTTGCTCATGGATTGGATGAGGCCAAGAAGGATCGAGGGAACGAACATGTCAGCTACCTGCCTACATTAACTTGATTCAACTCATCATCCAACCCTCCAAGGCCCCATGGTGATCAATCTTTGTTTCATCCGACACGGTAATCAGATGTGATGATGCTGATGCATGCCTGAATTCACTGCTCAAAATTCACTCGATAGAACCGTCATCTGCAGTCAGCTGACCTCGCACCGCAAGGCCAAAGGGAGCTGATCACAAGGATTTTCTTCAGCTTCTGAAAGGGAAAGTTCTGTCGACACTGACAGTTCATCTCAAAGAAGGAAGTGGAAGAGCATGAGTTGATCAGAGTGAGTGAGACGCATCTGAAGTGACCAAAGCTCAAGTATGTCACCATGCCTACCTGTCCTGACACGAGAAGCCCAGGCCAAAAGAGGCTGGAGATGTGTCCGGGCAGGCCATACATCAGTAGACAGGTCTGAAGCCAAGCATGATCCTTCCTGGGCGTCCATGGCGAATGCGTCCTATCCTTGAAGATGGCATACAGAAATTTAATCTGAAGAAACCCAACGATCACTCAATTAAGACAGATACCGTCTCGGACACTGTATGCAGTAGTAGAGAAGTTCACGTCGAGCGACCCGAGTGCAGGTCTCTGTCCCGTGCTTCCATCAGTCCATGATGTTCGACCAGGGTTCGTTTCACAGCTCTTTTCAGGGATCTTCGCAGATGCAAGACCGAAAGCGATCAAATTTAAGACTATCTCGATCGATCGGGTTACTAGAGTCTCTGCTGTTGCAGATCAAGGGAATTCGTGCAGAGGAAGCTTGTTTGGCTTGTTTTATTTACCTTGTCGGCTGTCGAGCAAACGTAAAAAAATGGCAAGCATATCGGCACCTAGTTCTCCTCCTCCACAAGTTAACCTGAAAGTCAAAATATGGCCGGTCACTCGACGGTGAAGTCACAACTTGGAAAAAGGCAGGAGAGAGCGCTGTACGTAGGGGGCTGATGATTTACTCCCCCATTATCTCGATGTTACTGCGTGCCACTCTAGTGAAACATTAGTGTATCCTCTGTTAGACATAGTTTTACCAAGTAAAACGGTTCACAATACAAATTTTGGAAAAGCGCTCTCTGTTTACCATATCTCAAGCACAGCTAAGCTATATCAGCTTTGGCTATGCTGGTGTGATCAGTTGGATGGGCTGCCAACGCGAAGCACCAAACCAGGTGCCGGCATCCTCCCACGCAAGAAAAAAAATTAATTGACGCGGTCCATTATTTACACAGTGACTGCAATTTCCAATTATTAGATGATGATGATGCGTTGGGTCTTCCCAGTTAGACTACTCAGCACGTGTTACACGCGTGATGTGATCCCTGACATCATGTGAAAAGCATAAAATGGATATTAGCCATATACAAAGCAGTCATTTTTATGTCTGGCTGAATTAACTATCAACTTGGCAAAACTGAGGGTGGTCTTGAATGGGAGACCTCATGTAGTGGAAAGTATCATAAATTAGTGGTGTTTGTTAGATATACGTCGGGACTATCACATGGCTGAACACCCCCCCCCCTCCCATGAGCGACGAGGGGCAAACCCTAGTCGCTAGCCGGTATCGCCCCCCCCCTCCCCCTCCGAT